CCCCCCCCCCCACCACACTCTGCAGACACACAAACACATGGTTTCTTCCTGACCTGCACAGGGAATGTGTGTTTTGAAGGCACGCAGGGGGCAGCGGTGCAGGCGGGGGTGTAAAGTGTCAGACTGCTGGCTCMCACCCAGCTAATGTTTCCACATGTTAAAGCTGAGTGAAGCTGTGGAGCAGACACAACTTAATGTTGTACAGTTCAAACAGCATGACATGTCCTGATTAAACAACATGAGCAGATCTGCTGACTCACAGCCCACATCACAAGACTGGTCATCTGACAGACGGAGGACCACCAGTTAGGTCCCAGACAACTCTTAAAGCTGCACTGAAGAGTCAGGGAGTCAACCTGACAACCTCAGKAAGTCTCCAGACACACAGTGGAAGAAACTTTGATAGATACTGCTGTAAAACTCACAGAAAATACAAACTAATATAGTTTGTTGTAGGGTTGGGCAATACTGGCAAAAAAATTTATCACCATTAATTGTGGTATTTAGCCGATAACGATTAATTCGACGATTAATCCCCTGKAGTCCCTGGACACCCTTATTTCATGGTCACATGACCAATTTAGTGGGAAAGAATACTTTAGAAGTGAAATGTTTAAATTGTTGTTATGTTTCAGTGTGTCATCATGACCTCCAGCTCAGATTACACATTTGAATGAGGAAAAACCAAAACCATCAACAACGTTAGCATCTGGCTTCTACAGTATCTACACAACATATTGTGTGTTATTGTGACGACAACATCAGCTGAAACAAACAAACATTTTCCTCCATCCTGACTTTTTCTAAAAATCTCTTGTGCCATGTCACAACGTGGTCAAACAGTCCACAACACCAACACACAAACACACAATCAACACACCTAACGTGGCTAAAGAGTCTCTCTTTCTTATTGTATAACTGATATATGTGAGCCATCATATCCAAATGAGGATTAAGTTAAATTAGGTCAAAATGACCTGATTACATTTTCAAATTCTTGTCTTTAAAAGCTACATTTTGACACCTGGATCATCCTGATATCATAAACTTATCCAGAGATACGACTTCATTTGTCTTGTTGGTTACAATAATACATTACTGTTTGGTCTGAATCCTAATTTTATGTAAATTTATTGAGTCATTTTTGACGTCCTTATAAAGACAAAATTTCAAATAGTATTTCAACATTAAGATTTCCCAGTTGGAAATAAACAAAAACTTTGCTAGCTCACAGGGAAAATCTGAACTTTAAGGTGTTTTTCCTCAAAATCAGGTTTTTTGTTGCTACAGCTCAAAATAATGCTTCAAAAATTTCTTTAGAATTATATTTCAGACGTGAATATAGAATTATATTTCAGAATAATCTAATTATCACAGAAAAACACTAAAATAATCCAAAATGCTGCAGTAACGGTGCCAGGCCTGTAGGCGGTGCTGTAATGAAAGGCAGGGGGTGGTTGTGGCTGRGTGCTTAGGGGAGTCGCTCCTCTAATGCAAGAGTTGGCAGTTCAATTCCCCGCTGTTCTGTCACATGTTGAAGTGGAAGGACTATATAAGGACAGTSCATTTACCTTTTAATATGATTACAATTCAGAGAAAAMTGCAYCGCAATTCTGAAACAATTATCAAAGCATCTAATTTTTTTCTTAAACATTAATGCTTAACTTAAACACCAGTTTATAGTGTCTAACAGAGGGTACACATTAACATTTTTTAAAAAATCCTTAAAACTATAAGCTACTGAACAACTATTAACCTAAATGCTAACTTAGAATATTTTAAAGTCATTACTAAATACAATAATGTTACAACTTCAACTATTGCTTTTATGTACTGTGGTTCCACTGCAGCTTTACTGCAACATGTTTCTACTAAAATTATTACTAGAATAAAAAACTAATCAGCTACCACCAACCATTGCCTGTGGCTCAGTTACACATAAAGGTTATATTTTAAAAGGTTTTCACACAGGAACCTGTTAAAACACAATGTTCAGGCTCCTAACAGGCCATGTTACAGATTACACACCACATTTAATACCAYACACATCAACCT